TGTTAAACGGTTCAAAAGAAGTCCAATAAAGCGCATCCATCCATAATAAAAAGTGCCTCGCACGGCTCCGGGGGGTGAATAAAGACCTCCTATAGTGAATCGACGCATTCTTTTAAGAAATATATCTATATTTAAAACGTTATAACCACTTTTCTGTAGCTTGCGCTAACTGTCGTACGTGGAAGCCGTTCTGGGCGGATGACGTAGGACGTATGCGTAACACGTGCGCCGGTGTGAACATGCTAGTCTGGCAAAAAAACAACTTTGTTTACAGGAGCAAAGGAAAACCAGTCTGCTCTTGGCTTATATCGAAATCCTCCGACATTTTTCTTTACAAATCCTCGTTTTGTGCTTCTAATTCGTGACCAGTGTTTTGTTTTGCTCTCTCCGCTCCGCTTCCACATTCATCACTTCTCACCGGATCTTACGCTACGCCTACGTCATCCGGCGGAATGAATGCACGTACAACAATCAGCGGAAGCAATTCGTGACCGGTGTTTTGTTTTGTTCTCTCCTCTCTGCTTCCGCATTAGTCACTTCTCACTGGCGCTACCCATACGTCCTGCGTTGTCCACCCGGAATGAACGCGCGTACGACAGTTACAGGAAGTGACAGAAAAGTGTTTATACGTTTTTAAATATGTATATTTTTATTACAACAACGCATGGATTCGCTACAGAAGGCCTTCATTCACCCCCCGGAGCCGTGTGAGGCATGTTTTACTATGGATGTATGTGCTTAATTTCACTTCTTTTGGACTGATGAACTGTAACACCCGCTGAGTGCCATTCTATAGCTTGGAAGATCAAAGACATTTTTTAATATAACTCTGACTGGATTCGTCTGAAAGAAGAAAGTCATATACACCTAGGATGCCTTGAGGGCAGGGGAGTGCGATTATATATAGTCTGCGATAATAACGTAATTGTTGTTTTAACAATGTGCGATTTGACATTATCGAGTATATGTATCCCCCAATTGTAAGTCGCTTTGGATAAAAGCGTCTGCTAAATGACTAAATGTAAATGTAAATGTAAATGTAGACAATACAAGTTCGAACTAGGGGTGTGCGATATATATCGTTTGCGATAATATCGTAATTGTTGTTCTAACGATGTGCAATTTGACATTATCGAGTATTTTGCAAAAAACTTTCAAAACACCCCTACAGAGTGCATGCATACATTACATGAAGTCTAGACTAGTGCGCGTGCGCATTTAGAGTGCATTCTTTCACTACATGATTCAGTCTATTACAATACATTTAGAATGATCACAAATTCAAGACATGGGGGCAGAAAATGTATATATTTATACCACTTCAAATAGCCTATTTAATCAATTTCACTCAAAGAGTGCCATTTTTTTTCTCCAAAAATGACAATGATTACAAATGTGATATAGATTTTTTTACAACCGTTCAATAAACAAGAAGTTAATTAAGAGACTTACGTTTTAGACACCATATTTCCTGTTTTTGCGCTATTTCGACAACAAAAAATAATTCCAATTCCAATAATTCCACAGCCACAGCGCTGTTTTGCGTCTCTGAGCAACATGACGGTTTTTCGTTCCTGAATGAATCAACCGTTTAAATGATTCGGTTCAATCACATTCTCACTTATTAACAGTGACTTGCTGCCACCTACTGGTGGATTTAATTTCACATTCAGAGTATCTTTTGTTATTTCAATAATTTCAAATATCAGTATTCAAAGGATGATGGACACTTTTAGAAAAAAATGGCTTTATAAAGGTCAAAATGCCCATACAATGTAAAAATCAGTTAAAACTTATTGGAAAGATTAATTTCTATCAGTGTGAACTGACCACTGCACAGAACATGAAGAATATCAGAGGCAGAGTCAGCAGAGTCAGCTGTCCACGGCAGTCCTTAAGATACCAGCACAATAACACACTCAGCAAAATATAGTCTAATTATCGTTATCGATAAAATCCCAGAAAATATCGAGATATTTTTTGTTGTCAATATTGCACACCCCTTCTTGAGGGTGAGTAAATCATGGGCTAATTTTCATTTTTGGGTGAACTAACCCTTTAAGTAGTTTTTAGTCAGCTTGTCGCTAATGATTAGTTGGAGTGAGGTCTGGGGTTTTTAGGACAGTGGACTTTGTTGATTTTCAGCCATCACAGTGTGGTTTTGTGTGTTGTTGGAGCTCCACTACTATGGGCACTAAACAGAATTACAGAAACAATGACTGTTTTCAGACAAGTTTCTGACTTTTTCAATCTACCATTGTTGGGACAAATATATTCACCAGCCATGAATATGTTAAAGAAACTATGATTGTTTTTTTAGACTGTGGCTGGAATCATTTTATTACCATAGGCTATTTAAAAAAAAAAAATTGCATAATATTTGCTTAAATTAGAAACACTTGCCTTTTTAAATAATTTTAACCCTGCTTTCAATACTATTAATATTTTTTGTTATTTTTTTGTCGTTGTGTTAATTTCAATTTCATGAAATTTTCATGTATTTGTATTACAGATTTGTATTTGTAATCATTTTATGTACATTTTAATTCTAAAAATTAAAAGTCTTGATAACAAGTCAAATACATCAAAAGCAACAGCATCACACATAGTGGCAAAATACAATCAAAAACCTCCAGACATTTCATTCACAATCATCCTGCAATAAACAGCAGACTTTGACCTGGTTAATCTTTCACTACAAAATCACATTAGCTTCTAAATACCTTAGATTACCACTTTCTTACAGAAGGCGTGTATTGGGTCGAATTGTTCTGTGACCTTCATTGCCCTGCACTGCAGAAAGACTCATTACTGTGAATGACACTGAATGGGATTACTGTTGAATGGTGGACTGCATCGTGCTGACTGCATGAGTCTAATTAAAAGTTTTTTCCTCTAAAGGGCTTGTTTTGCTGGTTATTAAACAGATTTTGTGTTGAATCATTCATAGTCTACACATGTATTCATGTACGTCAGGCCTCAAACATTTATGTCTGATTCATCAGTTTCACATCAGAAGGTGTATAATAAACAATAACCTAAAACATAATTTACTATCATTAATGTCTTTGAATGAGTTTTTCATTCTCATCACTAACAAAATATTTGTTGAAATGTCTGCCAGCCAGTCTTGCTTTGTTGAATGTTATAAAAATGGTTTACTTAGACTAATATAATTCCTATTTTAGAGGGCTATGTATAAATAAACTTTTTCTTGAAAATTAATTGTCTTTTTATTCAGGCTCAAAACAAGCAGACAGGCATTTTTGCTGCTGCAAAGGTGATTGACACCAAAACTGAAGATGAGCTGGAGGACTACATGGTGGAGATCGACATCTTGGCACCATGTGACCATCACAATATTGTCAAGCTGCTTGACGCGTTTTACTACGAGAGCAAACTGTGGGTGAGTGTGAATTTAGTTTATGTTTTGTTGTTTCCTTGTTACACAGATTTTGTTCTAATTGTGTTTTCCACATCAATAGTTTGGAATCTTACTTTAAAGGGGTCATATGATGCTTTTTTAAAGATCATTAACGCCTTCTTTCTTTGCGTGCACATTTGGGCGCATTATGCAAATATTCCCACATAGTGACCTAGATATATGGGGGCGTGTTAGAACGAGCCGTTTTAGGGGGGCGTGGCAGAGTCTTAATTTTGATAAAGAATATCTCTTTGGTTTTGAGACTTTAGTCTTTGCAACTTCAGGGATCTTATCTATGCACAATCAGCTTGTAACACTCCAAAGAGAAAGGAAAACTTGAAATCGCATCATATGACCCCTTTAAAAAATAAATTTTTTGGCCCATTGTTTAACGTTAGTCTGCTTCATATTTTATGGTGACTAGATAATCACCCTTGTTTACTACAAGAAAAGACATGGGACAAAGGAATAGGAGACAACCCTGCTTGCTTTCTTGTTGACTTAAACCATTTCCTTCCTGCGCAGTGGAAGTTTAAAAAAAGGTTGAAGTGGCCTTAGACAGCTCTCAGGTCACTTCAGTCCAGCTTCATTACAGTATGGACATTAGAGACTTGGATGTTCAAATAATAAGGACATGTACATATTTTTATACTTCACCTTGAAATCAGAAGTATAAATACTGTAATACATAATTTAAAAAAATAAATAACTCATAATTAATGGCAGTACAAAAATACTATCTTGATGTGTGTACATATGTACATTACCATTCAAAGATTTCCTTCAGAAATCATTCTAATTAGGGCTGCACAATTAATCGAATTTCTAATCGCGATTACAATTACGGATGCCACAATTACGTAATCGTTCAGAGCGGCAATTAATCGTTCAAAGTACACTTATGTTATTCTGCGTGCTTAAGATGCGTTTTTTTCTTTCTACATGTTATCTTAAGGGGTTTTCCCATTATTTTAATTTTAGTTTTAGTATAACATTATAATACCATTCATATTTTTGCTTTTTTATAATTTAAAGAAGAAACCAATCCGATGTTTAGTTGACATTTGAGGCTTAATACTATAGAAAAGCACTAAAAGTTTTTCAGTTAGAATGTTTTCAGCAAAAATACGGCATGCAGTTGCATAAAACAATGGTATAAACATCATTCAATGTAAATTGTGATAATCATAATTAATAATCGCAATTACAATTTCAAGGGAATAATCGACAATTATGATTTTTGTCATAATCGTGCAGCCCTAATTCTAATATGCTAATTTGATGCTCAAGAAACATTTCTGATTATCATCAACTGCTGTGCTTGCTTAATGTTTCTGTAGAAACTGTGATTTTTTTTTTTAAAGGTTTTGATGAATAGAAATTGCATTTATTTGAAACATCAAGTAATATCAAATCTTTTTCATGTGGCATTGCTGAATAAAAGTATTAATTTCTTGGAAAAAATCTTAGTAGTAGTGTAATATACAATTACAATTATTTTTCTAGTGCTTAATTGTCAATGTCATACTGCCAAAAATTTAAATGGCCTTCAAATTAAGCTCCATTTCAGGTGAAATATGGTTTATTATTTACTTTGATTTGAAAGTGAATATGACCTGTACATGTTCTTCAAAAGTTTTATGAGATTTACCAGAAAAGCAAGTCTTAGAATCACAATATCTACTGTCAGTGCATTTTCTCACAGTCAGAACAGTGCCTGTTTTCTTCATCTGCCTCATTGTGTACTGAACAATGTGTACTGGAAGAGGTGTGCATATTTTACTGTGATCCTGCCATACACCAGGAAATAGACTGATATCAGCCTCACCCATTTTTGTATGAAGATGTAGGAGGGCTTTGATTTAGCTGTGATTCAAGGAATGTTTAAACTGGATTATTCATCAGCCATTTCTAGCTTAAGCAGAATAAATAACACATAAGTATCAATAAAGCCATTCAGTATTCCATGTAAATTAGTTTCCTCTAAATTTGATTATATTAGCAGATAACATCAATTTCATATGCCACTTGCTTTGACGTTTTGCAATATGCAGTGACATTTAGGCATGTCCACATACAAATTGGGGCCTCTCTGTGTGGTAAATATGAGGCTTAATAATGCATTCTGTCATCCAGACAGTGGGATCAATGGAAATAAACATTCCCATTCTCATCTTGTGCATTGAGTATGGCCATTGTAGTTCTGTGACTGAATGACCGCTCTCTGTGGGCTGTTGTGTTCTCGTAGCTGCCAGTCTAAAGCAACATCTCACCCACAGTGACACAGCGCTCGAGAGAATGAATAACGCTGACTGTTCTGAGTACTGCATCAGTGTATGTACACAGTAGTGTAGGGATCAGACATTAACACTGTTTAAAAGCTGCATGTGTTTCTTGACTGAAGCCATTTGCACTTTTCAAAAAAAATGAGCTCATTTTGAGTCAAACATCATAACCTACGGTGAACAAGCAAGTAATCCATGCTTATTTAGTGAAGTGTTTAGACTGATTCAGTCTATGATTCAACCAGATGACTCCTCTGATTCATTTAAAAGAACTGCACTGATTCTGAGTGAGTGAGGACAACACAATTTGTGAAAGTTTTGTTGATATATTTTACTTTTCAAAGGTTTGGGCTCTGCATGTTATGGAATATTATTTCAATATAAAATAGCTTTTTTTCTGTTTGAATATATTTTAAAATCATTTATTCATGTGATTTTTCAACCTCATTACTCCAGACTTCAATGTCTCTTGATCATTCAGAAAATATTCTAATATGTTGATTTGATGATTGAGAAACATTTATTTCTATTATTAATGTTGAAAACAGCTTTATTATTATTATTATTATTTTTTTTTTTGGAAACCATGATACTTTTTTCCAGGATTCTTTGATAAATATAAAGGTTAAAAAACAGCATTTGAAATCTTTTATAACATTATAAATGTCTTTACTGTCTATTTTACCAATTGAATGCATTGTTGGTGAATCTAAAAGTATTATTTCACAAAAAGAAATAAGTAAATAAATAATGACCACAAACTTTTGAATGCTAATGTACTATACAATTCAAATAATTTTTCTAGTGCTATATGATATACAGTACATAACTGTTTAAAGTTTTGGGGTCTGTATTTTTATTGTTCCCTAAGGCTGTTAATTTGATTAAAAATACAGTAAAAACATTGTAATATTGTGAAATATCGCAATTTAAAATAACTATTTTTAATTGCCAATGACATACTGCAAAAAAATTGAATGGCGGTCAAATCAAGTTCAAAGGAAGTTCAATTAGAACAACATTTATTTGAAATAGAAACGTTTGTAACATTATGAGTGTCTTTTCTGACACTTTTGATCCATTTAATGCATACTTGCTGAATAAAAGTATTAATTTCTTTAAAAAAAAAAAAAATCTTTATCCCAACCTATTGAACTGTACTCTATTTCATAAGTTCATAACTCGCCTAAAATATATGTATGTTGCCACTCCTGACTTGCAATGCAGGAAACAGTTGTTGTTCAGTATTGACTATGTGAGCAGTCTCTACCAGTACCTGCCCATCCTCTCTCCAGATGACCCCAGCCGTGACCCCTTCATCCGCCTGGTGTTCACGGAAACTCTCCTGTTCTAATCCTATTAGGACAGAAAGGACTCAATTCAGGCACTGCGCTAATGTGCAGAAAGCTTTGGTCCTTCCTCGTGCTCATACAGGCCTCTCTAGCTTGATCCTGTTATGTCATCCACCATATTGAGGTGCAAGAAAATCCTTCAAGGCTCAGCAGCTTCAGTGACCAATCATGACCCTGCAATGCAGCGCTGTTGACCAATCACAGCCCTGCGAAGTGAATTGTTTTGTAATAATGTGGGCTAGTGTGTCCCTGTCTTTCCAGGTTTGGATGTTGTTAAAGTGGAGTTCTGGTTTTATCCATCGATTTGCAACAAACTCGAATGTGTTTGTGTGCTGAACTGAATGAGAGTTCTAGATTTTGTGTGTGTGTTCCCATGTGCACAAGCATAAACGAGTGAGTTGAGTGAACAATGGCTTTCTGAATGAGTGCATCTTGTCTGTTTTTTAAACCACTGGCTGCAGGTTCATGTAGGCGTGTTCATGACAATAGGATAAACAGATCTGTCTACTAAACATAATGCTGCTATTGTGAAATAAAGACAGTATACTAATCTCAGTCAATCTGTCTTGTGCAGTGTAATGCAAGCAGCCATGCTTTTGTAAAACAGTGTGATTGTGTTTTAGGAAAGACCCAGTTTTATGTTCGCCGTGTTTCTGTCTGCAGATCCTGATAGAGTTCTGTGCCGGTGGAGCCGTCGATGCTGTCATGCTCGGTGAGTTCGCACAAAGTGTTTGACATGCAAGACTGCATCAGGAAAAGGTCACTTACAATGACCAGTTCCTTGTCAATAGCCAAAAACACATTTAATTTCTTAAAGGCGAAGTTGAACTTTAAATGCGCATTGATTATTCTCACCATTTGCATGACCTGTTAAAGCAATCAGTTCAGTTTACGTTATTAGTGTCTAAATATAGATTTGTTTTGTAGCGTAATACCATAGTTTATGAATGAGGGTCAGAATGATTATTTTTTTGAAGGAAATTAATATTTTAATTTATCAAGGATGCATTAAATTGATCAAAAGTGACAGTAAAGACTTTTATAATGATATAAGTAAATGCTGTTCTTTTGATCTTTCTATTCATCAAATAATCCTTAAAGTATCACTGTTTCCACAAAGATATAAACAGTACAAATGTACAACATTGATAATAATAAGAAATATATCTTGAGAAGCATATTAGAATGATTTCTGAAGGATTACGTGACAATGAAGACTGTTGTAATGATGCTGAAAATTCAGCTTTGCATCATATAAATAACTTGCATTAATTATTCAAATGTATTAAAGTAGAAAACGCTTAACAATTTAAAAATGTAATAATATTTCTCAATACTACTGTATTTTTGATTAAATAAATGTACAAAAGATACATTGAAAAACATTACATCTTACAGACCCCAAAAGTGTATGCTGAACGTTGCGTCTTTTTTTTTTTCTTCTTTAAAATGTGTGTTGGAAACACATCACAATATAAAAATGTTATTTAAACACCGTTTAAAAATAAAACCGAAAAAACAATGATCCTTAAACCAGTTTCCACATTAACCTGTCACACATTAATAATTATTTAATTATTTATATCTACTAAAAACCTTTTTGGCAACTATATATAAATTACTCAATGTAAATACACATTTAATCCAGATATTGCATAGTAATTCCTGAGGCAGTTCACTCAATGTAATTGCTTCTCGATCCATGTTTGGCACAGGTAGTAAAATGAGACAGCAGGGCTTAATGGAGGGTCAAACAACCAGTCCGTAATGACACTGATTTAAGTTTTCACAAATATTGTGTTTCTAGTATTTTGACTAAAGTTAGCTTGCAGTTTAGTTAGTGAGTCATATGTTGATTGGCTTGGGCTGATTCAATTAGTTAATTCAGTGTAGGACTCATCAGGCCGATACAGACTGGTAACTCCTGAGTTTGCATTGAAAGAATCGACTTATGCAAGAAATTTAAAAATCAACACATTTTATATGCCTAAAAACTCGGATGTTAGAAAACAGGTGATCTTATTGTAATAGTATATGTAAATTGTTAAATCTTTGTATAAGTGTGTTTGTGTATGGTAGCATTTCCCTGTTCATGCTGTGTGTGTGTGTGTGTGTGTGTAGAGCTGGAAAGGCCTCTGACGGAGCCGCAGATCAGGGTGGTTTGTAAGCAGACTCTGGATGCTCTGCAGTATCTGCATGACGGCAAGGTGATCCACAGAGACCTTAAGGCTGGAAACATCCTGCTGACACTCGACGGAGACGTCAAACTGGGTGAGTGGGGTTTTAGGGAGCGTTTAGAGGGGCGGATGCATGTGCAGCTAGTTAATCATCTCAGGAAGTTTGTTCTCTTGAGTGACGGTGGAGTGTTTTTAGTTTTGTTGCCCATCAGCTACGTATACCTGAGTGCAGCGGGAGATTTCAGCCATTTTGCATGATGAGCAGTTTCACAGTCACGTGATAACATAGTAGAGCAGGGATAGGCAACGTCGGTCCTGGAGTGCCGCTGTCCTGCAGAGTTTAGCTCTAACCCTAATCAAACACACCTGAACAAGCTAATCAAGGTCTTCAGGATTACTAAGGCTTTAGAAAAGTTCGTTTTTTTTTTTCAGGGTTGGAGCTAAACTCTGCAGGACATCGGC